GCCTACCTACCACCTACCATCTAACCCACCGAATTCGCCACCCACTACTTTACCAACCACACGGACCCGGACCCAGACCCAGACCCAAAACAATATTCCGAATTGGGACTAATGTGTCCGTCCCGTCCGGCCGTCCGTCTTTCCGTCTCCCCTACCTGAACCTACTACGCTACTTATATTACCCTTTTCACTTTCTCACGTACGCGCCGGATCTAACGATGACCTAATTGAGACGTCTCGTACTTACCCCTTTTGTACTTGTATTTTACATTTTTCTTCTCTTTTCCCTTTTTGTCATTTTTTTTTTGAACAATTTCTGGCGTTTTGTTGTTTTCCCCCCTTTCTCATGATAACTAACCTACTAACCTGACCCACTGACTACCATTACTGTATGTATTATTGATTGTTATGAGAGCATGATATCATTGATGGAACTGACTGAGACATGAAAAGATGGAAAAAGAAAGAGAAAAGAAAAAGAAAGCATATAGGGAGAGTTGATTGGTTGATCGACGGAGATGGGGATGTATTTTACTTGGAGATGTTGATTTGTTTTTTGATTGATTGATTGACTGACCGTGTTATTTAAGGCTGACTTGACTATATGTCAGTCAGTCAGATAGATGAGATGAGATGAGATGAGATGGATGACTCATGAGTGAAATGATGAAATTGATTGAATGCATCATGCCTTTTTTCCATTCCAAATATTGGGTTTACTTTGATTTCAGAAGAAGTAACCAAACTAATTCATTCTATCTATATAATGTATGTATTGAGTGTTTTGTGTTCAGTAAACCCCGTTAAACGCCCCCGACGCCGTCAATTTCACTCTGGAAAAGTCATTGGAAAACCCTCACACCTCGCACATATAAGTAGAGGAAAATAAGAAATAAGATCATGCACATATAAACTATGATCACATCCAATACCAGAGCACATTCAAACATAGTAGTGAACCCAACCCCATGAATCCCGTTTCTATCCCGGCCTTACCCCTTTGCAGTAAATATTGATCATAATAATATATCTGTATATCGATAACAACTATAGGCTTGGCTAGCCAGTTAATGCGTTCTTTGTTCACAATCAATGTTGGAAGGAATAGCATGCGGCTAAGTAGCCACTGCTTTAGTTCCAGTATTCGACCCATTAACAACCAGAGGCCCGCAGTGCTCGCCCGATTTGGACGACGCTGAAGTCGACGAAGACAGCGACGATGACCTCGGGCTGTTGTTGTTGCCAGGACCGTATGGTCCTTGGTTCTTTGCGACCGGACCGTTCGTGTTAGCTAATGGAACCGAACCGGTGTGTCTCTCGCGGGTCAGGCTGTACGCGACATGAAGACTCCGGTCAATCTTGACGCGGATTTTCGCGTCCATGAAGTTGATTCCGTTGTACTGCGCTACGACACGCTTGGCTTCATCCGCTGTGCGCAGGGTTATTCGCGCGAAGCCTTTGCAGCGCCCGGTGTCAGGGTCCGTGGATACCTCAGATTGCTCCACTGTGGCGCCGCTTTCTTCGATGAAGGCGCGAAGGAGCTTGTCGGTGGTGGTGGGACTGAGGTTCTGCACGAATATAGTTCGTCGTGGGGAAGAACGGGGGCCTGGGCCCCCGGTGTGGTAGATCTGCGGCGCGAACGCCGGATTGTAGCCGTAGGAAGCTTTGCCGGACATGTGGGCCCGGCGTCCGGGTAGACTAAAGCCGCCATGTGCTGGGGCGTCAGGGAACGGTGGCGTGGTAGTAAAAGGATATGTGGGGAGAAAGGGAACAGCAAAGGCGTCGCCGAAGGAGTGGCGGAGAGGAGCGGGTGACGGTGGGATGCCTGTTATGGGCTGTTGTGTGACTGGATCTGTAGGGAAAGGCATGAAAGGCTGCTGAGGCATTGGTAGGGGATGGACCATGGGGCCGTAATCAGTAGCTGGATATGTCGGGCAGTTTGGACTGCCGGATACGATGGGTCTATGAGTTGTCAGTTCGTCGCCTGAGCCTGAGGAAGGGAATGCACTTCCGGTACTTACTCGGGTGAAATGGGAGACGGAGGCACTGCCATGTTTTGTGTTGATCGTGGCGGAGTCGAGTAGCCTGGTACATAGTTGGGTGGGATCACGCAGGTTGGACTCTTCGTAGGCCCGGCAATTGGTCGTGTAGGCGAGCTGGTTCGTGCTAATGTGACAACCAGACTCTGGCCTTCCCAGCCGTTCGTAGATAGCCTATCTAGAAACATACTGTCAGCTAGTTTCAACTATTTGGGTTCCATTACGCACGGTAGGTCCGCCATGCTTCGTCTTCGTTCTTCACAATGATCTGGCCAAGACCGGTCGGGAATCCATGCTGGTCATCGTAGACCACAGCTTGACGGATATGTAAGGCTGTCTGGCGGACTAGGTCCTTGAGCTCTTGCCAGCGACAGTGTGCCGGTATCTGCACTCAGGGTTAGACAAGGTCGCGTGTATAGGATGTACCACGTGCGAGACATACTCCCTGAAGGAATAGAACGAATTCCTCTTCTGACCTTCCGGATTTTGCCATCCGGCCCTTCTCGCGTGGAGGGAAAGGCATGATAGTGTGGTATAGTAGGGATCGATATGTCAGATCCCCTGAATGTTCGGAGAATGGATGAAGAGTAGGTGGACCCCGTGAGCTTAAAGCCTGTGATCTTCTAACAAAAAGAACTATTTCCGATGATTTTAAGCTTCAATGCGCAGGATGGACACGGTTAGCAGGGGGGGGGGTAGTGACCTAGACGCTAGAATATAAGTATCGGGGTTTGGTCTGACGGTCTCACACCTGGGTAGTATGACCAATGATGCCCAAGGGGATTATGCTTACTGGTTCGTCCTTTGCAGACCCCGGTCGCTATTCAGAACAATCAGGTACGGTTTGAAGAAAAGAAACCGGTCCACAGGTAAAAATGTAAGAGATCGAGGACCAGTGCTTCGTGGGTTTTATGTCAAGATTGGAAGACAAGCGCCCGAGGGTTGATCGACCTCCTACATCGAAAGCGGCCCACCGAAGGCGAAAAGTGTTGAGGCCAGTGCTGAAGCAGCAGCAGCAGGTAGAGTAAGGAGGGCCAGAATAAGAATAGCAAAGACAGTAAGAATGTCCGAGGGAGTGGAAACGGAGAGGACAGTAGGACCCGTGAGGATAAGATCAGTGGAACGAGGCCAGGAAGCAGAAGGAAAATAGACGGAAGCCAACGATGCATCCGCTGACGAATTAAAAGGGGGCGCAGTTGGTGCTGGAGAGCTTGCGAGGGAATTCCGGGCCTGATGCCTGGAGGAGACTGGGATGGGTCAACTTGGGAGCACTGGCAGAGGCAGTTGGGAGGAGAAGGTGGTGGTAGTGGTGGTAGTGATTGCAGTCGAGGGATCGAAAGAGGACGGGGCCCAAGCAGGCTGATGATGATATGTCATGCATGATCAACAGTGATGGATAAGAAAAGATGGAGACTCACTATTGAGCTTGAGTGGCCGAATAAAGTGATGGAGTCAAAAAAACCAGATGAGAGGGAAAAAAAAGAAAGAAGTAGTTAGTGGATGAGTAAAAGAATGATTGAATGAGGAGATGGGGGAGAAAAGAAATGTAATGAACTGAAAAAAAAAAAAAAAAAAAAAAAGAAAAAGTAAATATAGTTAGTTGATTAATTGATTAGTTGCGGTATGATGGCTGACTGACTTGCTGGGCATAAACTAAAAACCAGTCATTCAGTCAGCCAGTTCTGTCAATCAGAGCCAGTAAGTTGAAGATGAATTAATTGGAAGATTTCTATTTGTAGGAGGAAAGTTAATGATTTCTTCACATAGTGTGCTGCGTGAGATTGAACTAACTAGCAGCCGGTACTGCTCATGTAGCACCAGGAAAAAAGTACTGTTAGAGACTAGAGAAGCAGTGAGAGAGACAACTCGAAGTATATCCTCGAGTCAAAGCTGCAATGATTGATTGGTAAAGATCGGAAAGTAAATGACGATGAGAATGGACACAGTCGCCAACAACAAGAATTCGACCCAACAACATGGATCCAGCCCTTTCCTTCAATGGCACTCTTCAACATCAACGCCAAAATAACCTCCACGGACTCATCACTCATCACTCATCACACACCTTTTCCTCTTCATCCGCCGCCTTCATTCCAATACACTCGAGTACGTCACGCTTGGCGGACAGGGTTACACCGCCAGATCTCAGGGCAGCCACAACAACAACAAGGTCTCTGTCCTGTCCAGTCAATCAAGTAAAAAAGAATTGGTCTCGAATAAAAATAAAACAAATAGATTAATTAGAACTATACCAAGAATTGCTGCTGACGGAGAAATAAAAAAACAAAAACAGAGTTGATGGTGGACCATCCGCCCTGCATCGCCCTGAAAGGCAAATGGCATTGTGCTTTTCCGTTAATATCATCCTCATCCTCATCCTCACCTTCGGTCAGCCCTGTGGTGGCCAGCAATATTTCCCCTCAAAGAAGGGCAGCCAACCAAAATAAGTTGAGATCGAATATTATGTTAGCAGACAGCTGATGCGATACGGAAACAGATGTTTCTTTTTTGGTTCTGCTGTTCCCTTCGCATCCCTTGGGTCACCTTCATCATACTAAGTAAGCAGCACTGCAAGCAAAAATAGAATAACCTCAGCCCTGAAACGGGGATGTGGAGTTACACAGTCAGACTTGTCTCATGTCTGATCATGAAAGGTCCAAGACTGCAGCATCTTTCACCCGGACTCTGACCTCTCCCCACCTCTTTTCCCTCCTCTCTCATCAGGCCTCTCATTGCTGCACTAGTAAGTTCGGGTTAATTGTCTCGGTCTCAGCCCATGTCTCCACAAATAGTCATCCAGGAATGCATCGCAGCAGAGATCAAAACGAAGTGAAATACAGCAACAGCAGACCAGCCAGAGTAACTACCCAAGCAAGCGAGCTACACAAGCAGCCTATTGAACAACTTGCGTCTCCCCAGTCGGATCCAGTCTTGCCCCTTGATTCGGTTCTGGGATCACCCAGATTCGGCCGGGAAGATCCCTGAAGCCACCTGCATATGAGGTATCCATTTCCAACAACAGTCGCAGTCATCGCCTAAGTAGGTCCGGTGGTCTTGCCGCCCGGGAGTACCTGTCCACTCCATGCATCGAAGCCTTGCCACTCCAGTCACCGCCGGCGCTGAGCGATACATCCAAAAGAATGTCACACGGCAGCTGGCCGTATATTGTTAGAAAGTCTGGTCAGTCACCGGGAAGCGTTGGACGGGAGACACCAACCAACGCCCGGGCAGCAGGCGTCAGGCTCCGGTAACCGCTGTGACCAATGTGGTTTGGTGAGGTGAGACTAGGAGCAATAGGATGGGAGGGCTGAAAGTGGATGAGGATGTCATCGGATCCCATTTACGGGAACCTACAGCTGGAAAAAAAAGAAATGTAGAACAGAGAGAGGGAGAGAAGAGTTATCAGGGAAGCCACTAAAACGCCAGGCACTGAATTAAACTGCCGAGATAAGCCGCTGCAATCCGAGTCTAATCTGTCCGCGCCGGGACCTCGACTCTTCCGAATCAAGTAGAGCTGGTTGTCTGCTTCAGTCGCCTTAGATCTTGCCTATGAGTGTGAATAATTTGTGTGTGTGTGTTTGTCCATTTGATTAAGCCTGGCTGAGTCACGATTATGGCGGCAGATCACAGACTATCTAGCTTACCTTTCCCCAGAAACTCCGCTAAAAATCGATAGTTCGGACGATCGACCCATACAACATAGTAGACTTTAGTTGGTGATTAGGCACGCCCTCGCCCTCGCCCTCGCCCTCGCCCTCCGCCCACGGGCCCGCGGCTCTGGTAGGATCTCCCACTAGCAAGTACTTGTTAATGACTCCATACCCAACGAGGCGAACAATCTAGAAGGTATCGAGGAATTCATGACCCATCGGGATCCCGGGGACCCAAAAAAAACTTCAAGCTAGACTAGAAGATGCTATCCGTCGTGGCTGGCTCAAGATCTCTCTCTCCACTTGAGATGGGACCATCTTAAATCTTCATATTCCCGATCAGGGAAGACGCTGGATGTTCCTGGTGGATTACTTACTTACCTGTCTCGGTCGCGTGGACGACTAAGCTTTGATCGTGTCACTGCCGTACGAGGAGATTAAAATGTCCTGTCCCTCCGTGCCTGGTCGCGCCTACCGATTACATACATGAGCAGCACAGTAGTCTGCGGACTATTGAACACTACGCCCTATTCCATGTCTGCGTGGGACCCCGATGATGTGAAGATGGGATCTCTTGTGATCGCAGCTACGGGGCGTAATCGCTGTTCTGCTGTGGAGCGAAGACCTAAGATTATTGCTTGGTTTCTTTGGATCGTAACGTTGCTGTGATACTGAATCTCGAAGTCATGACTTAACCTTCCTGACTGAGAACTGGCCGAATTGGGAGATCTGGTCGATCGCCCTCGATTCCTCAGGACAACAACTCACTAGATTCAGACAACTACCATGGAACGGAGCTCTGAGGAACGAGCTCTACCTGTCACATGCAATAGGACATAGCGGCCACCGACTGGATCGCAATTGGCAATGCCATTCCTGTCACCTATCGAGGCTTACTCGGGGATTATCTGACATTTCCGCTGACACGGTGACCATGGGATAAATCGTCTGCCGACCATGACATCGGGCAGACCGTTCTGCAATACTTGAGGTTTTATACAGTACCACGCACATATGCCCGCACATGATGCTTTCACACTGGGTGACACCATCTAGTTGATTATCTGAGCTCTCCAGCGCACAGCCACCAATTGCAGTAAGCCAATCCTGAGGCTTTCTCCTGTCCCCTCATCGCCCCCTTCTGCCCTTCAGGTGCTTTCCTCCCATCGCTCGCTCAGTGCTAACCCCGATACTAGCACCATAGCACGGTGGACCCCGAGCAAAGTAGACGAGACGATGAAACGAGGCCAAACCCACGACTGAAATGAGCCACGACCCACTGATCAGCGACACCCACCATTGCCGACACCACAAAAGGGGTCGGTCAAGCAATCCTTCGGGTGTGGCTTGAAGGGCCGCCCGTCACAACCTCCATTAGGTAATCCAGCATGAATTTCCTCTCTTTTGCTAACTAACTATCTTAGTCTGCAAAAGCAAAAGCTAGTTTAATGTGAGTGATCTCCGTTGTTACAGACAGCTGACTTGCTGTCCCTGACTCGCTCGGGGTTCGAATCGGGCTCTGAACTTCTGATACAACACAAGCGTGACAAGACACCTGCCATCGATCCGATCACGGCGTCTCTTATGCGGGGCAACGCCAAAGTACTTACGGAGTACTTTGCTCACACTTACGTGTCCGTGTTACAGGCAACCAGGCTAATGTCCCATCGCTGTAAGGGGGAAGAGGAGGAAGAGGGGTGGGTGGGCAAAGGGAAAGGAAACAATGGAGGGGTAAAAGGTCCGTGAGACGGACCCCCCATGTAATACCTTAGTATACGGACTTTACCGTCGTTGTTTGCTTGTGGTTGTCGTCACGCTCAAAAGTCGGGGGGAAAAAACGAAAAGGAATGGAGGAAAGAAGACGAAAGAGGGGGGCGTTCAGCTTTCCCCCCCTCCTTGGCGCCAAAATACGGAGAAAAAATCCCAGGAATTATGGGGTTTAGACATTACACGAACTACGGGGTAGACACCAATCCAACCAACTAAAACCTACCACCTACTGACAATTGCAGTTAGTAGGGACTCAGTATCTACATGCTACTAACCCAACACGGAGTACGCTCAGTACTCACATTTTGGACTCCGCTTAACGCTAGTCAGAGCTAGCTTGAGGACCGGTGCTCTTAGTTCTTTTGCCCAGCGTTTAAGACCAGAATTACCAGTAATAATAGCAGCAGCAGGGGCAGGAAGGAGCAGTAGCAGAGAGAAAGAGGGAAAAAAATTTTAGAAGAGGGAAATTGAGAGAACAGGACTATGGCCATCCTCTAACCACAGTAACGACTTACCTACCTACCTACCTACCCCTTCAAATCAAATCTCCAAAACCCAAAGAAAGTAATACTACCAAAACCACTCAGATAGCAAAAATAGTTTAAGATAGATACTTAGGACAGATAACTAGCAATACCTGAAACAAAACAAACCACCAAACCAACCACATTCCGAACAAGCGGGATCATCCCGCGTCCCAGCCCATCCCTACTGTATCTATCTACTATCTAGTAGTACTGTACTATCTATCAGCCCCCGGACCATAACGCGCGTGGCTTGAGCACCACCACCACCAGCACAGTACAGTACACTACACTACACTAACACCCAATTTGTCCATTCCTTCCTTTTTCCTCCTTCAGGATGTAAGTAAGTACAGTAATAACGAATAAGTAACATGTTCGTATCGACAACTCCACAGTAAGTCAGTAGTATCCGCCGCCCGTCTCTCTCTCCCCTATCTCGTTCTTCCGGGGGAGGATTAGCGTTTAGGCTCTCGGGATTTACATTACGATTGGCACGGCGCATGGATTATGTTATGTATGTATGTTTGTCACAGGATGATGAAGGGGGGGAAAGGGGAAATTGAAATCGGGAATTGGAACTGAAATCTGGGGATTTGATTGCATCATTGTGCTTAAGGATCTGTCATTCTTGCATGCCGGATGGGTTTCGGGTGAGGGGTTTTCACTTTTCAATTTTCAGATTTTACTTAGTTGGTGGTTATTAATATGTATGTAGGTAGGTAGGTAGGGGTTTGATTTGGGATAGATGGGATGATGGGGATGGAGATTAAGTGATTTGAGTTTGAGTTTGAAGTGTTCTGCAGAACTCGATTGCATTGCTTGTTTCTTTTTGGTTGGTAATGTAGTTTACTACTGTTTTAGGTAGGTAGGTAGTGTGGTAGTGTGGTAGATTTCGCTAATATGACTATATGTGTGTATTGGTATTGCAGAGATTGGAAGAGTTGAGAGGTGAGAGTAACAGAGGCATGGTGTATGTAGATCATTTGTGTCGTCTTTCACACAATAGAATCCAAAGTGGTAAACAAATAACCCCCCCCTTTCCAAGTAACAAATCAAGATAAAAGCAAGTACAGGGTATCATAGTAGGCTAGGCTAAGGTAGCAGGCAAGCAATTCTTTCAAATCAATTCACAAAAACAGTAATGATATCTCCAATTTCCAACAGAAAAATTCCTCGGTGCGGTATGGTGCGAGTGGCGGGGATGGAAGGAATTGGACGATCATCATTGAGCGGAGCGCTGTTCGCATGGAGAGTGGGACTCTGCTCAACGAGATGATCATCATCATCATCAGCCCTCGCCCCTCGCCCCTCCCCCCCCTGCCTGGTCGGTGACACCGCCACGCGGCCCCGCGCCAATACAAATTCCAATTCCACATGCTGAATTTAATATTCGCGTAATGTAGGGCGCGTTGCGGGGTGGAGGGGGAAGGAGGTTCGGTAATTGCAGTCGCGGTTGTATGTTTGATTTGCGACGGCACATGAATCGCGCCAATTTGCGAGATAATCGGCAGGGCACCGAGGAACACAACCAGATTCAATAGCTAGTATCCATATGGGGTAAACTGGTGACGCAGGAGTACAGGATCAACATGCGCAAACCCTCACTCAATCAGACACAACAAAGAATCAACAACCTGTGCCAGCACAGTAACATTGGTCCCGAGTAATGCATTGTTGGGTTGAGTAAACGGCGAGGCGAAGAAAGGGTGTAGAACCAGCATTTGTCACGTCGAAAGTCGGCTTTGTCTTTTCACTCGTCTCCGCCCGTTGTGGAATCCCACCATGGAGCTGGGATAGCGGTTGAGCGGACAAAATAATGGTGTCATTTTGTCTGTGGTAGTTGTAGTGGTGTTGTCCCTTCTCTCATTCCCTTGAGTTCGCAGAGAAACGTGGGTTGGTTGGCTAGTCCGATTTGAGGGCTTCAGCGGATGAAGCCGACCATGGATGCGCAGCGACTGCAGTAGTAGGAATTCATGCCGAAACGAACCACGCCGGGAGAGGATTCGTTTTCGAGACTCATAGATCGTTGACAGCGAGAGCAGCGCACAATGTCGAAATTCATGGAGCCGGGGGTCGAGCCAGTTGGGGATGTCACCCCCTTTGTGGCGCCGGAAGGTTGCGGTTGAACTTGCAGCGAGGAAGAGCTCATCTTCTCCTTTCCGCTCCGGTTGGGGGTTCGAAAGAAAAAAAGATGAGCTTTGTGGTGACCAGTGAAGTTGGGCGCAATTTCGTATCCGAAGTTCTGCAAAAATGGGGGACCGAAAAAGGTCGAAAATGGTTTTTGGAGAATTGGGGGGGGGGGGGGGGGGAGGGGAGGATGAGTGGTTATTTAGGCACGTTCAACTGGGTGGCGGAGTCGATTAGATTGTCTTGGGAATACACGGAAATACAACGGCGATAGCGTTGTATGGTTCTGGCAGTGCCCGGGTAGCTTTGGTAGCTTAGTAGGCAGCAGAGATTGACCACGTGTGAAAGGAACAACAAGAAGGAGGAAGAATAAGTTCCAGACGACTGTGAAATAATAGGCAGAAGAGTTAAAAAGGAGTGACCGGAGAATCGAGCTGGGTTGGGAAGTAGTGACTGGAAGGTATCTATACTACCAGAGCCCAGCGCCAAGCGAAGTGCTCAGGGTCAGATCGATCCACTTTTTTCCGCGCCTGTTTTGCACCGGCCTGAGCTAGTTGGGTAAAATAATAGTCCTTTATATTATTTTCTGACGAGGCACAGGGGAAAGGAGGAGGCGGCGTTTGGAGGGAGGGCAGAAAAAAAAATAAAAATAATAAAATGATAAATAAACGAAAACGAGAAAAAGAAATTATAAAAAGTAAACTTTTTCTTTTCTGTAATGTCTCTCTTTTAAAAATATAATCGACCCAAGACAGGGGGTCGGTCGAGCTTCAAGAGACTAATAATAAGAATGAGGCTAGCAATCAATACCGATTGAGGGATAAGGCAGCCGATAGTTCTTGTGAGAAAGCTGCTGCTGCTGCACGGAATGTGGATGCCAGTTTCAGAGTTGAATCTGGAGGATGTCAACCGTGAAGAGATGGAGGGGGAGAGAAGGCGAGGATCAGTCCTTCATGTATGTAGGCCGGATTCCTCTGCGATGGAATGACGATGTTAATATCCTGGTCTCAGGTTGTGTGTAGAACAACGACATGCCATGACATGAGAGGTGGCCGATTCTTATGACTTGAACCTGTTGAGGGGGGAAAGTTGAGTGTGGTCTTGTCTTGTCCTGTCCTGTCCTGTCCTGTCCTGTTCTGCTCTGGTCGGGTTTGTCTCACAGGCTGGCCGTAATTTCAGTTCCGGGTCGTCTGGAGGTACCAGGGCATGCTGGAAGTTACCAGACGGTTACCGATACCATCCACTGGTGCGTTGACTGACCGTTTCCTTTTCCTGCCTTGAGTTTCCTGCCCTCCCCGGTCGCATTATGGTTCTTCGGGGACCAGTAGAGTCGATCGATTAGAGATCGGTCGACAATAATGATGTGATCTTAATTCATTGTCTTTTTATTATATTATATTTTATTCTAAATTTTGACTTTCAACTCTCCTGTCGGTCACTTTTCAAGCAATGCCAGTATCCTGCATAGATTACAAGCCACTACTTACGTATGTAGTGCTAGGGTTCTGGTTATATTTTTGCTCTGTTAAAAGTGCAGCTGCCGCAGGACTGACTGACTGACCTAATTACTAGATAATCATCAACCTATAACATAACTGTACTTTTACTTACGCTTGCTTGCCTTCTACCTCACATGCAGGCCAGCGAGGCTTGGTTTGGCTGCGTCAACCACCCCTCGTCCGCACATCGTGGCTTTTTCTCCTCTCGTTGGTGCTTCGCTCCCAAAGCCGAGGGTCGTGTCGTCATGACTGATCCTGGTGGATGGAGTCGTCCGGGGCGATCGCCTGGACTGTTAGTGTTGGGTACTGGTTTCGATCTGCCATTCTCCTCTTCCCTCAGGAACACTCGTGGCCTTGCTGTACTTGTGGTTCGACAAATGAGAGCCCGAATGGCCGGTAATCGGCGTATCGGTTCGCCCTCGCTGGTCACCTCCACCACCTCCACCGTTCCGTTCCCACTATCTTTTGTGCCTTAGTCATGCTAAGTCAGTCCAACGCACGAGATATGGGGCTATTGGAATTTTTGCAAGGGCATATGAAAATGGTGAAAAATGAGAATGAGAATATTAAGTGGACCATTTCACCTTGGCGGAGCATGGGGTACCCTGGTGCCCTGATGCCTTTTTTTTTGCCCTATCTCATGTCTTTCAGTGGCTGCCTGTCACTCTCTACTGAACCCAACTAAACCTCCATTGAACAAGTGTCAGTCCCAAACACGCTGCTGAGTGGATGAACCATGATACCATTCTAC